TTAAAAATGTGTAATGCTTGGGGCCCCTGGTTGGCTAAGTCAGTTAAGTGTCTGCCTTCGGCTCAGGTCATGATCCCAGGGTCTTGAATCCAGAGATTCAAGCACCACGTTGGGCTCCCTGCTCAGCAGGGACTTGCTTCTCCCTCTCCCTTGGCCTGCCACTCTGCCTACCTGTGGTTTCTGTGTCCAATAAATAAATAAAATCGAAAAAAATGTGTAATATATTACCAGCTCTAGAGAAGAAATGTAATTACAGTTCATTGAAAAATTTACATAGTAGGTAGAATATTGACATATGTAAGGAGCCAACAGCACGAAAAAGATTATGACACTGACTTATGTATTTTGATTCTTGACCTTCAAAGCCAGGTCTCACCTCTACACCTACAAGGCTGCTCACTATAATCACCTATGACTCTGCCTGAGGAGTTTTTCTCACACTTGGAGCTTGCTGGACACGACACAAGGCCGTCAGAAGTGCCGGAGGTTTATTGATCCTGAAAGTAGCTAGTCCTTTATTAATAATGGTTATATATTTGGTGGCTACATACTCCAGCTTCCTTGTCCCATCCTCGAGGTGGATGTGAAATATGTTCTACGCAGTCTCCCATAGTGCTCCCCTCCAAATAAACTACAGTTGCCAAAATGGTAACTTGCTGGATCATCCCCCACTTTAATTAGCTGCCTTCCTTCCTTGTCTCATTTCCCCACATCCACTTGGTATTTCCTTTTTTTAAGATTTTATTTATTTTTCAGAGAGAGCACAAGCAGGGGGAGCGGCAGGCAGTGGGAGAAGCAGGTTCCTTGCTGAGCAGGGAGCCCAATGCGGGGCTCAGTCCCAGGACCATGAGATCATGACTTGAGCTGAAGGCAGATGCTTAAGTGACTGAGCCACCCAGGCATGCCTGATATTTCCTTTCAAGTAAGCTATTTGTACTGACAGGTTTGTCTCAGGGTCTGCCACACTTGGACACATTGTAAATTAAAAATGCATTTAATTTGGGACCCTGGGTGGCACAACTGGTTGAACATCCAACTCTTGGTTTCACCTTGGATAGTGATCTCTGGGTTGTGAGATCTCTCTCTCTCTCTAAAATAAATAAATAAATCTATGAAAATAAAGTAAAAATGCATTTAATTCAGAAACACTAATTCAAAAAGATATACATAGCCCTTTTATTGTAGCATTATCTACAATAGGCAAGATATGGAAGAAACTTAAGTGTCCATCCATAGATGAATGCATAAAGATGTGAGATACACACATTTGAATATTAGCCACAAAAAAGAAGGAAATCTTGCTATTTGCAACAGCATGGATAGATCTAGATGGTATCATACTAAGTGAAATAAGTCAGGCAGAGAAAGATAAATGCCGTATGAGTGGACTTATATGTTGAATCTGGAAAAAAGTGAACAAACAGAAACAGACTCAAAAGTACAAACAACAAATTGGTGGTTACCAGAGAGGAGGTGGAGGGAAGGATGGGCAAAATAGGTGAAGGGAATTAAGAGGTACAAACTGTCAGCTACAAATAAGTCACAGGGAAGAAAAGTACAACATAGGGAATATAGTCAATAATACTGTAAGAACTATATGCCGACAGTATATCTATCATCCTAAACATTGAGTAATGCATATAATTGTTGGATCACTATGTTGTACACCTGAAACTAATATAATATTGTATGTTAACTATTCTCAAATTTTTAAAAAAATGCATTTAATTCACTCTGACACATGTCTGGTTGGAAGTAGATTTCCACAATCAAAGTTATTTTCCACCAATATTGGGTTTTTCAAAGATTTTATTTATTTATTTATTTATTTATTTATTTGAGCAAGAGAGAGCATGAGTGGGGGAGAGGTGCAGAAGGAGTGGGACAAGCAGACTCTGCCCTGAATGTGGAGCCCAATGTGGGGCTGGATCTCACAACCCTGCAATCCTGAAATGTGCAGAAATCAAGAGTCTGATGCTCAACTGAGCCACCCAGGTACCTCTCACCAGTATTTGGACAATATACTCTATACCATTCTTTCTTTCTTGTGCATTTCTGCTTGCCTCATTTTCTCCCCTTTTGTTTTTCTCTTTTGAGGAAGTATATCAGGAATACAGAAATGTATAGAATATATAGGAAAATAGTGTATACTCATCTCCCAGCTAAGGGAATAGAACTTGAAACAGGGTGAACGATCTGTCCCTCATGTCAGCACCATCTGAATGTGGGATTTGCCATTCCCGCGTCTGTGTGACTGTCACGTAGAGCAAGCAGGGGCAAAACCCCAATGATTTTCTTTTTTTTCATTTATTTATTTAAGAGATTTTATTTATTTATTCATGACAGAGAGAGAGAGGCAGAGACATAGGCAGAGGGAGAAGCAGACTCCATGCAGGGAGCCCAATGCGGGACTGGATCCTGGGACTCCAGGATCACGCCCTGGGCCAAAGGCAAGAGCTAAACCGCTGAGCCACCCAGGACTCAGCAGTTTTTTCAGCTTCTCCCAAGAGCGCCCCTCTCAATTCCAAACCCCTCAGACGCTTCCCTGTTAGTAAACCTCTAGGGTGGATTGCAAGCCGCCACCAGCTTGTGGCCTCGGGGTAGCACAAAGGGAGGTCTGAAGTACATAGATCATGGAAAAAAATAACACACCAAACCAAAGTAAGTGAAAGCACAGCTTCAATTTTAATGGTTTCATCAGGGGAAGGATTTGTTGATCCGCATCATTTTCTGGGATTTCTTATAATCCCCAAGGATCATGCGTGAGTAAGTCACGTGGCTTTTTGGCAAATGCCATCTCCACACTGGCATCATTTGTGTCAGTGTCCACAGCCATTCCATCAGATCCTCATCATTTTTGTGCCTCCCCATTTGCCTCCCCAGTAAAAGCTCAGCATGTTTTTAGAGGCCAACATGGGTTTTAGGTATTCATCTGCCTTCTTCCTGGTGTTCTGTGCGGGCATGCTGGGACCCACTTCAGAGCGCCCTTTCTCCATGACCAGTTGGACACCACAAACAGCTTTAGGAAGAAGCACAACTGGAAAAAAACTGTAAAAGTAGATGGAATCGAGAATGACCTATAGGAGAAATAACAAGTGCCCCAGAAGCCCCTCTGCACCTCTATCTACTTACACATGTGTGTTCATGTATCTAAACACACAGACATGCAAACACATACACACACACACACACACCAATTTAGTCATAAGATACTGCTTTGAGGTTGACATCTGCTGTGAAATGCCAGCTTTATCATTTATTTGATCCCCGCATATATGGTAAAATATTTCTGGAATCTCAATTTTATTCCATCTACAGGTTTCTCAATTTCTGTTTCAATTGCTAACCCTACAGAGTATGTTTCAATAGGCAGTATGACAAGCTCCCCCTTTGGATAATTCCTCACATTTTCTCTTCTAGTTCCAAATATACATTCAAAGTCCTGTTGTGATTTATGATTGGGATTAAACTGAAATCAGAAATTTAGAAGAGAACTGGTATCATTTCAAAGCTTAGTCTTGCTTCCTTCTCCCTCCCCAAAATAATTTAAAATATTATTTTAATGTCCAAACATGAAGTACATAAGAAGGTTCATGTACATTTTCCCTGTTTTTTTTTTTAAATTTCATTATAGTTGTGTTTTACAGTGCTTGTGACTAATTTGAATTGGACATTTTATTTCTATTATATTTTCTAGTAGAAGTGTACACAAAATTTAAAGGTTTTATGTGTTTAACTTATATCAACTGACCTTTCCTGATCTATTTCCTGAGTGATGGCTTTGGTTTTTCTGAGGAAATCCCTTTAGAGAAAGGCAGTTTTGCTACTTTTTTTGGTAACATAATACTGGACACTAATCATAGTTCTTCTCCCTTTCTGTTGTCTTTTAGTCCTTGAACACAGTATCTGAGTGTCTTGACGTGGTTTTATAGGGGGTGGCAGGAAAGTGGGGTGAGTGGTCCTTCCCTGCCTCTCAAGGAAAAGAGTGTGTACCTTTCATCAGTTCAACTGCATCAGGTGTTACATGAATAAGGATAATAACTTCCTGTCCTCTGGCACCTCTCACTCACTGTTTTCAGCCCTTAACCAGCTGTAATGCAAGTGTTACGTATTCAGATCTTGCATGCGGGCACAAGGTTCTGAGAGTCATTGTGAGTCACCTCTGGGGCTTAGCCAATAAAGCCTGAGGGCTCAGGGAAGAAAAAGATAAGGTAAGGATCTTCCCCTCTCATCCCTGTCCTCTTCCAGACCATCCTCTACAGAAACATGAGTAGTCTGTGAGGTAAGCCATCCAATATAATGTAATATGATTTTGTGCCATTACCACACTAACCCACCTGGTGAACCCCAATCCAACTAGCCAAAGGGGAGAGGTTATAGAACTCTCTCATTTGTTCACACTGGCCCAGAGATGCTCTGTAGAGAAGTGAGGAGGGGCACAGCCCCTAGATATTGGCTTTCTCACTTCTAGTCCCAGGTCTGTGTAGCCTTGAGCAAGTGCCTTAATTTCTCTTCTGAGTCAAGGATTGAGAACACAATAAGTACCTGCCCCCAGCAATAGCACTGCATCAGATTCAAAAAATACTGCACAAAATGGGGGGGGGGCAGTCTGGGGGAATGCGGTGAGGTATTAGGAGTATGGGGTTTGTGGTCTGGTATCGGGGTGAGTGCAGTCTTCAAACACAATTGGTCATTAGCCTCACAGATAGCCCTGGTCCTCCAGACCTTAAATAGATTTTTCAGCACCTAGTTCCCCAGCCTTAGATCTTTTCCTCTTTGAAATCCTTTTTCTCTTTAACTAACGGTTCTTGTCTGATGTGGGGAATAAGGCAGATAAAACCATCTCATAGGACTATGTTGGAAACAAAGTATGTGTGGCAGGGAAGTGGCAGGAGGAAGCGTCCCTTGGGGGGGGCATAGAATCAACTGAATTTCATCAACTTTTTCAGGTTTACTCCATTGTGTTCCTTTTGTGAAGCCATTTGTGGTGTTAGCCATTCATGGAGAAAGAAAACCCTGAATTGAAACCCAGCCCATCTACAACCAGTGATGAGAAAAATGAGAAGACAAGTGGACGCTCAAAGCAAACCGTGCCCACCAAGAATGTGTTGCACTTTTTACTAGAGAGGCAGCTGGGGAGGCACCGGAGTGATGTGGATCTGTCTAGGTGGCTGTGGATGCTGACATAGCCACACCAGGGTGGAGGTGGCCCTTGCTTAAAAAAAAAAAAAAATGGGTCTTACCTGCTTATGCCTACCCCAATTTTTGAAAATGCAAAAAAAAATTGATTTAAAATAACAAAACAACTTCCTTGTTTCAGCTACAACAACAAAAGCTGCATTTTCACTCTATTTGGTTTGGTATGTTTTTATTGCCCAAACAGCATTTTAGTAACATGGGACAGGGGATTTCACCACGGTAACCTGGAACACAGGAGCTCTCATAACCTGCAAGGTGGGGAGGTCACAGTGCAGGTCACATCTCTTCCACCCTTAATCTGAAACAAAAGCAAGGGGGCAGTGATGCAGAATTGGGGACCCCCGGGAACCGAGACCCTTCTCCTAGGCATTTGAGGAGACACCGCTGTTTCTCGCTGGAAAACCTGGCTGCTACCCTGGTGAAAGTTTAAGAATGGGCCTCCCGCAGCATGGGAAGTTTAGGATATCCATATTTTTTATTCTGAGCCTCGTGAGGATATCATTTAGAAACTACAGCGTTAAAAAAAAAAAAAGAAACTACAGCGTTATGTTTTTGTTGGCTCTATTTCATATAAAAAAAAATCAGAGTAGGGCAGTCTGGGTGGCTGAGTGGTTTAGCACCGTCTTCGGCCCAGGTTGTGATCCTGGTTACTGGGGATCGAGTCCCGTGTCTGGCTCCCTGCATGGAACCTGCTTCTCTCTCTGCCTGTGTCTCTGCCTCTCTCTCTCTGCGTGTCTCTCATGAATAAATAAAATCTTTTTTAAAAATCAGAGTACATGGCATTTTAATATGGGAATGTGGCACCTTCAGGGCCTCCTGAAGAGTAACGGCCCTTCTCTGGCCTGGTGGGGTGAAGCCAGGTGGGCGGTGGCTGGCAGTGGAGAATATACCGTACTGAGGGCCCCAGCTCCTTTCAGCAAGACAGGGGCACAAGAGAAAGTCCCCCCCCAGGAGGCTGTGGGGCATGACGATGCCTGGGGGAACAGGGTGCGGGACAGAGGACCTACAGGGCATGGGGAAGCAGCCAGCCCGGGGTGGGGTGCAGCCCAGGGACACAAGCGGGAGTGGAGCTGGGAGCAGCGCAGCCGCGGGCACACCTATCCTGGGTGGTGGGGGCTGCCACCTGTCCCCTGGCCCCTCCTTCACTGCCGTGGGTCCCTCGGGCATGGTCCCCCCACCACTTCCCTTCCCGCCTGCCAGCACCTCAGGGTACCAGCTCCTCCCCGTCCGTCACTTAATTGGGACAACTCTGGCCCTTCAAGTCCCATCCTCTGGTCCACGGGCCTGTCCCCTCACCACACGTGGTCTGACCGGGCCTCTGGGATCCCTGGAGGGGCAGCTTTTTGCCCCGGGTCCGCACCGCTCACAGCAAACGGAGGTGCCACAGACCTGGACGCTTGGGCTGAGTGTCACTGTCATCACCTGGAGCAACGGGATGAGCCGCGCTGGGGGCCATCGCAATGTGCCTTCTGGTGCTGGGCAGCATGGAGCAGGGAAGCTTGCACACAGGTCCCCGCCCCGGGGCAGCCGCTGGCACCGCCTACCACGCGTCTCCCGGAGTGCCTGATCCTCAGGGGAGGCCAGCCGAGGCAGTGACACACATGGTGGCAACTCTTGACCGTAAACCCACTGAAGGCGACTCTCATGGGGCAGAGGCCAGGGCAGGGGGCTTGGAAGTTAGAGAGACCTCCTTACAGAGCCTCTACTGTGTGCTGATTGTACTAGAAGAACATCCCTCCGGCACAAAGTTACTGGGGGAACGCTTTTCAGTGTCCCTGTGGAGGGCTCACTTTGTGTCTCCATAAATTAGAAGCACAAATAAGACATTCAAAGGGCAGGGGCTGGCAGAGACAGAAAGAGACAGACAGGGAGAGGGCGATGGAAAGGAGGGAAGGAAAAGGAAATTGACCCCAGAAGTCAATCCTGGGTCCTTTGCATGGGCTCGTCACATCCACAGCCATCCTCCTTGAGAGCCTCCGACTTTTAGTTTGTTTAGGGTTTCAGACCCTCTTCCAAGAAGAGTCCTCTCTATGGGGTTTGACAGCAACCCTGTCCAGTGTCTGGAGAATCACTGCCAAACATCCAGGGAAGGCACTACATCACTCCAAAAGGCTCTTGAAGAGGGAACACAATGACCACCCCTCCTCTGTCTTCCTGGGGTTGGAGAAAGGAACAGGAACAAGATGCGAAAATGAAACTGGGGAGGGGTGGGCCACCTCTCTTACGATCTTCTCAAATGGCTGCCCTCTGCCCCTTCCCTCCACCCCAAGTTAGAGCCATCTGGAAGGAAAGAGGAGGAAGAGGCTCCCTGAAGTGTGTAAAGATGCCCATGCACTGAGTGTTACCAGAGACCCTATAGCAGAGGGGTACGTGGACACACTGCCTGTGCATCATGGATATGTTTATAACTGTAAGAAATCTTTCTTTTTAAAAAGATTGTATTTATTTATTCATGAGAGGCAGAGGCAGAGACACAGGCAGAGGGAGAAGCAGACTCCCTGCAAGGAGCCTGATGCAGGACTCGATCCCAGATCCTGGAATCACACCCTGAGCCGAAGGCAGACACTCAACCGCTGAGCCACCCAGGCATCCCTGTAAGGAATCTTTCTAAAAAAGACATACATCTGGGGGTGCCTAGAAGGCTCAGTCAGTTAAGAGGCCGACTTTTGGTTTGGCAGTGGGTCAAGATCTAGGGAGGGAAGGTTGGGAGATCCAGACTGGCCTTGAGCTGAGTGCTGGGTGCAGAGCCTGCTTGAAATTCTCTCCCTCTCTCTCTCTGTTCCTCCCCACCCCCTGCCACACTCATGAGAGCTCTCTCTCAAAAATAAAGAAACAAGTAATTTTTTTTTTGAAAAAGAAAACATACAACTGTCTAGGAACAAAAGTTCTATTAGCATCAAGTACAGACCTTAAGATGATAACTTCTTTGAAAGCAAAATTGCCATAAAAAGCACTTTGTTCCTTTGGTTACTCTCTTCTCTCATGAGTTGAGTACAGGTCAATGTGAGGCAGGCCATCAATCAAACAAACAAACAAACAAACAAACATAAGCGATACACTTTTGCCTGCTCATTTTCCTGGACATAGAACAGTTACAGAAATCTTTCAAACCTGTGTCTCTTTTTCCTGAAATAATTCAATTATTATTCATGAAATCACGAAATTACATTTACTGTCATAACATTTTAGAGCTGTTGAAATCTTAGAATATATTTCCTCTTAATGCCACATGTTATGCATAAAAAGCTGAGACTTAAGTAAGGCATCAAGACTTGGAGTGGTCGGTCCATAGTCTGTTGCTCAAATACCCAGATGGAAGCCCTCAGTCCTATTGCCTAGAACTCTAAACTATGTTTCTCCACAGGATTGCAATGGGCATTTAAAGTCTACCCAACTTGATGGCAAGTGGTTTTTTTGTAGAATAGAGATTAGAAATACATTGTGAACCACATCATGGCAGGTGGTGTCCACGGCCATGAACGGGCACAGGGCACCTCGAGCGCTGGCCTTGGGTGGCCTCAGATGCAGTCCTGCAGGTGGCAGCACTTGAGGGCAAGTGGAACCGTAAAAGCTCCAGTCTTACAAGCACAGTGAACAACTAGGCCATCTCAAGCTGGTTCTGCTGGAGCTCAACTTCTTGTCAACCACAGGGACCCAACTGACCAAACAGCAGTTCATTCTGGCCGGTAACATTTTGGAGATTGGGGCTCAGTGGAGCATCCTGTGCAAGGACGTCCCCTCCTTCCAGCACTACATGACCCAGCTCAAATGCTACTATTTCAACTGTGAGGAGCAACTCTCCGAGTCAGCCGACATGTACCAGCCCTCAGGCCTCAACTTCCTCTTCCTGCTGTCCCAGAACCGGGTGGCTGAGTTCCACACAGAGTTGGAGCAGCTGCCTGCCAAGGTCATGCAGACCAAAGTATATACATCAAGCGTCCTGTGTCCCTGCAGCAATACGTGATGGAGGGAAGCTATCACAGGGTTTTCTTGGCCAAAGTCAACATTCCTGCTGAGAGCTATACCTTCTTCACTGACATCCTGCTTGACACTCTGATGAGATTGCTGGGTGCATCGAGGAGGCCTATGAGCAAATGCTTTTCACTGAGGCCACCCAGATCCTCTTCTTTAACACACCCAAAAAGATGGCAGACTATGCGAAGAAGCGAGGGTGGGTTCTGGGCCTTAGCAACTACTAAAGCTTTGTCAGCTAGCAGCAGAAGCCAGAAGATACCACCATCCCCTCCACAGAACTGGCTACACAGGTCATTGAGTATGCCTGGCAGCTAGAGATGATGGTCTGAGCCCACCAGGCACCCAGGTGAGGCAGGGCTTGCGGTCTTTAAAGCAGTGGCAGTACAGGGCTTCCTCCAATAAAGGTGGATAGCCGTTCTCTCTTCTAGGCCTTTGTTGCCCCTGGTGGAATGGTGGGGAGACAAGTTCAGTTGCGCGCGCTGCGGCATGTTGCATGTTCCCTTCTGTCGATCAGGGTCTTGAGGATAAGGGGATGAGGAAAATAAAAGAAAAGTAAAGAGATGGGGACAGGAGGGACACAGTGGATGATGTCCAAGCAGTGCCAGCTTTATTCAAGGTTTTACAACATTTTATAGCAGGAGCAAAACAAAGCCAAGAAGGTGTTTATTTTTAGCAGGTTTGTGAAACCCTCCAAAGTTCCCCTTTCTCAGCATGCAAGACAGACTCACGGGTGCCAGAAGACCTTGGTAAATAGATAAGCGTGTTGCTCCAGATGTGCATACTTCAAAGGAATATTAGGTATGGTAAACAGACTAGCAAGGACAGACAAACCCTTATTTACATTTATGACCAGGTCAGAATAAGTTTTATCTATTGTGTTATGTGGGCGATCACGTACAAGCGAGCCCTGAGAACCATTGCTCAAGCCCTTTCTCAAGCGTCTACCAACTATTCACCGTTTAGGCTCTCGAGCCTTTTGAGTGAATGAGGGACGCAAGTCCGGGCCTGGTTTGGT